GAGAATTTTATATTTGTAGAAATGGTTTTTTCTTAATAACCATCTACTAGAATTTGGATATACTTATTAAATAGCTTGCTTCTTACAGTTAGCTTCCTCTAACATAGGGTTCTCTGAGAATATCATCAGTATAATTTTTTGCTACTTCTTTAAACATGCTGAGGACTCCATGGGTCAGTAAAAGATAATTAATTATGTATAACAAAGCTGTTTTTAGGAACTAACTCCATTGCAGTTGTAATCTATATAAAATTAATTATATATATGAATATATCTTTAATCATATTGCTACATCTTCAGCCTCTTTTACATTTTTTTTGCGATAGATTCTTTTTACGCGAAAATAATAAGTACAGAAATCGTCAAGTGTATAAATAGTTCACTAATTTATCAAGATTAATTTTAGTAATGTTGTGGAATATCACAGCACAGCATCTCATCATTTGATTAAAAAACAAAATTATTTTAATAGAACTTATAAATTTATATTAAAAAGTATATAATTATTAAGTTTTATGAAAAATCTCAGGTCACATATAATTAATAACTTAAATTTAAAATTTTAAAATAAAGAAAATCTTTTTATTTTTAAGAAAAATTTATTCTATTTTGATTAAGGTGTTTTTAACATAATAAAATTACACACAATAACATTTTGTTTGGGTTTCGTATAGTTTTGATTATTTCTTTGACGATGTTTGTAAAAACTAATTTTATCAATAGTTTATATTTATATATTTATGAACCGAAAAACTATAATGCATTAAAGTCTATCTAATAATAAAAGAATAACATCCAAAAAAAGTTAAACTAAATTAAAAATTGCAAATATTAACCAAATAAAAGTATTTAAAAAATAAAATTTGGATTAAAATAATGATGAAAAACAATTTCTTTTTATATAATTTATTCCTTCTTTTTTTGTGTCCCACACGAAACAAGAATTTAGAACAAATGAGGGTAGGATGAAGTGTGGACATACTACGTAATCGGTCTCGTCTCCACACGATCTCTTATCCGGGTTCACCTGCAGCCAAGCCCAAGAGGCTGCAACTTGGCGATCTTCTTCTCTTTCCTCTTCTCTTTGTAATTGTCTCCTCTGCAATCTGCCTGTATTTTTAGCTGCCATGAAAAGCAGCATTACTAATACCACACCAAGGTAATCACTTTCTCCCTCTCTTTCTCTCTCTCTGAACACTTTATTTTCTTCTATACGTCTTGATTGTAGAAATGGAGTGACTTGCAGAAATGTCTAAGCAATTAGGAAGAAGATAATTGTTTTCTTAGTGGTTGTGTCGATTGGGAGAAGTTCATATCTTGTTTAAATTACAAAGTTGCTGCCTGAGAAATGTTTTTTTATCCGATAAGTTGATAGTCATATTCTTTTTATCTGGGTTGTATATAGGTTCAAGAGTCTCAGACAATTTGATATTTTGTTATCCTTTATAGTGATTTGAAATTAGGTGATACATTATACCCATTAGTGGAAACATAATCCAGGTTATGTACTCTTACCAATTGCTAAGGACAATCAGGTATTCACTTCTGAAATTGTAAAAGCATTCACCTTCAGTGTCCAGAAGGGCTTTTGGGGTCACATAGGGTCTGTTTAGAAGGGGAGAAGTGAAAGGGGAAGTAATAGAGGTTGTTGGTCCTCGCAGTAAATTATTAGTTGGGTAGTTTGTGTTAAGTAGAAATATATCAATACATGAAACATGTTTTAATTTTTACTCTTTAAATTTAATGTATGTTCAAGAAAACGTATAGTTTAGTTTGCAATGAAGAAAATGATAAATGGAAAAAATGATGAGGGTTAAAAATTTTAAAATGTTATTCTCAATGTTTTCTAGAAAACCATTCTTATTTGTGATTGTGATTGTGATTGTGATTGTGATTGATAATTTTACAAACACAAACGCATTTGAAAAATGAAAACTAGAAAATAATTTTATGTACTGAATGAATCCTTGACTATTTGTGAGCAAATGAAGCCTAATAGTTTGTGAATGAATCCTTGATTATTTGTAAATGAAGGAATCTATTATTTTGATCACTTTAATTCTTGTTATGCCAATTACAGAAAGTGAAAACCTTGAAAAAGAAAAAGAATATACTAAATAAATGTGTTGATATGCATGAATTACTCTCAGATTGCATCTAGGAGTTGAGAGATTGAAGTATGGCATTGACGACATGTTCTATTTGTATGTGGCATGAAGAAAGGGTTGGAGGTTCATGTATAAGGTCTAGACCTATAAATTATGGAAGATGCAGTGAGAGGGTAACTCAATTTCATGGGATAGGATTTTGGCATGGTACCACAAATTCAAAGTTCTCTCGATTGATAAAATCTTATAGAAGTCACTATGGATTGGAGTTAAGATGTTTGAATCGACTGCCAGACAGGATAAAGAAGTCCTCTTCTAAGCATGGCACGAATGCAAGAAGAACTGAGGTAAAATTGTTTTCTTCCTTTTTACTATTTATGCTATTATTATCACTTTCTCTTTCTCATTTTCCTCTCTATTTGTCATTAAGGAAAAAGGTGAATTCGAACATTTGGCATTAACTGTGTCAACTGTACTGAAAAGATGGAGTCAGTCACAGTCCGCGAAACTTGCTGGTGTTTTGGCTTGTGTGTTTGTCATGATTCCATCAGCTGCGGCTGTTGATGCTCTCAAAACCTGTGCCTGCTTATTAAAGGAATGCAGGTATTCCATCTTCTTTTATAATTTCTCAGATTTTGTAGCTGGAGTTCTGCTCTTCCTTGATATGTAGAAATACTATAACTAATGTTGTAACCGTCTTCTTATCCTGATTCCCGAGCAAAGAAAAAAAAACCTTTTTACTGTTGCTAAAGGCCTCGGTTCAAGAATTTAAGGGAAAGTGGATTGGCTACTATTGCAGTTTTCGTTTCAATAATCTGTTTTTTAAGCTCTGAGAAACTAAATTTAATGTAATCTTCAAGGCTTCTGCTTAGAATCCTACCTGATCCAGCTTGCTTCTTTTTTGGATTCTTCTGTTTCCTTCTAGTTGCATTTTCTGTAAGCTATAGTGTTCAATGCAACAAGTGATGAGAACATTGGTCAACTTCCAGGCTCATTCATGAATACTTCAAAAAGTCTTTAAGCTTTTATGTACCTTAATTCAATGGCGAGAATTTAAAATATGATAGGATGGAGGTGGGAGGGGAA